TTCTCATTAAAATTAGGCAAAGTTACATGCTTAATTATTTGTTATTTCAAAAGATATGTCACTACTTCAATACTCATAATTAAAAAAAATAGTACATTTTATGCGTGTTATAAATTAAAGAAATTATAAAATTGCAAAAAAAAAATTTTAATATAAAAATTGCTTGACACGGGCCAGCTCGGGCTTTTTCCGAGCCGAGCCCGAGCCATCTGATTCTCCGAAATTTTTTGCCACTGCTAATCACCAGACAATTTACATTTTGAAAATTTATTTTTGAAGTATAAAAAATGGGACTATTAACCATCAGTTCTGATCTGATTTCGAATTTTTTTTCCTTGTACAACAAATTGTTCCATTTCACAGTTCTGGGAAGTTGTTCGATTCTCAAGATACTTGGACTAAACCACCAAATGTCCATCCCTAGACTAGTGCAATGCTATTTTGTGCATGTTTGGCAAACCTAGGTTTAGACATGGTTCAGGTTTGGCTGATTTGGTCAATTTTTCAATTTTTTTGCCCACTCCTAGACAAATCTTAAACTCGACAAATTTTATTTTATCTACACACACTTATTGTTTTATCTATACATTTCGTAAGGTACACAACTTTTATGCACTCAAATAAACAATGTTTCTATGGTATACTAAAAGTATTTTCAAGAGATTCCTTAAACATAAGTTACTTTCTATTTTGAAGAGTCAATTCTTAAAATTATGTTACAAAAGACTCTTTAAATTAACATTTTAGAATACAGACTGAGTTTGTTAAATGTATTAAAAATATTTCAAATTTCAATGGAGAAAAATAATATAATAATTTAGAGAGAAGTTGATTAAAATAAAAGATTGGAAAAAAAATTTAATAATTTTAGAATGCTCATTTATAATGTTACTAAATTTTAAATGGACATTAAATATAGATTTCGTCATCTCTCACCTACGTAATTAGTATTGCGTTTTTATTTTTATTTTCAACAAAATGCGCCACATAGTGGATTAAAAATCATAATTAATATTTTATTACCTCCCTTAAAAACTCCAATAGTTCCTTATCAAACGATTCTTAATCACGGGTTTCATGATTTACTAAAAATGATTAAGCCCTTAGAATGTTTATAGTGAATAAAACATTAAAATAGTTGAAAAGGCTAAAAAGTAATAAAGAGGCAATTCCAGAGCGATAAAATCAAACATAGTATCCTTTTAACCTTTTATTTTTCTAAGTGAATTTTCAATTTGAAACGACAATTCTCTTCAATTTTCTTTCTAAATCAAGTATTATTCTTTGCACAAAAATAATTTAAAATATCAAACACGTGTATTTAAAATAATCATAAATTTTAAAGAATTACTGTAGGTTCCAGCTAGGAAGTTAAAAGGCAGTTTCATCAAGCAGCCCTACGCACTACAAGCGTGCATGGGAAAATGTGGCGGCCAGCCTGAAGTAGGTCCCAACTCACAAATAATTTGGTCGATGAAAAGCCAAAAATAATAAACTTGGTTTATTATTTAGACTTGAAGCTGTTCAATCTGAAATCAATGATTTAGACTGGGAAAGCACCTTCTTCCTCCGCCATCTTCCTGTTTCAAACATAGCAGAAGTCCCAGATTTTGAAGATGAATACAGGTTAGTTAATCAGTTTTCATAAGTAATTTTTATATTATTTGCTGTTGGAAAATTTGATGACTTCCACTCCGGGGATCGGAGAATAAAGCAATGAACCAAAATCACAAAAAAGAAGATCACAAATGAAATCAATGAACCAAACACGAAACTAGGAAATCGATTTGAAAATGAACACCGATAGTTTGAACACAATATCGCCATCCTCAAACTATATTTGCTCCCTTTCGAATTGAAATAATGATTGTAGGGATTAAGACAAATGGTTTGCAGATATAAACAAGCATTGTAAAGAATTAACACCTAAGCATTAAGTATAATTCTCCAAAACTTGAAGAACACTAAAGAAAAATTTGAATATGATGAAGAAAATTGTGATTTCTTGTTATTTTTGTTCTTAAATATGGCTATGGTTTTTGTATGTTTTCAATAAGATTATTTTTGTATGTCATACGAAGTGGTGTCAAAAACCCTCCAAAAGCCACCAAATATTTGAACAAAACGGTCACTAATGACTCTTTTGGCCTTCTATGTGGTTGCATAGTACTAATGGCTCTTTTGACCTTCTATGCGGTCGCATAGTTCAACACTATGCAACCGCATATTTCTCTTCACGGCAGATATTTTAATCCCTGGACCGCATAGGCCAAAATTTGGCCTCCAATATTGATTTTCATTCCACATTATTCCACAATCGTTTTTTTTTTATCAACTTTGAACAATATTTTCAACAATCCCTCACTTGTTCATAATTGAATATAACATCATATTCAAAGTATACAATACTTATGCATAAGAATTAGATATTTTTCGATTAGAATCTAACCATAGTATAATTCAAACAAAGTAAAGTCGAAATTAAAGGTATCACGAAAGCTTTGAACCAATTATTCCATACGACAATATCGGTAAGAACACACACAAGTATTCGCGTTTTCAAGTTCCTCAACTAGCTTAGCGCTNACAAAGTAAAGTCGAAATTAAAGGTAGTATGAAAGCTTTGAACCAAAGATTTCATATGACAATACCGGTACACACACACACACACACATACAAAAGTATCACGTGTTCTCAAGTTCCTTAATCTTGTTTAGCGTTAATATGATCTTGCACTCTTCCTTTTCAATAAACTTTTAAGAAAGAAACTCTAATTCTCTATTGAAGCGGCACAACCTCGAAATTTATTTAGGTGAAGTTCTTTCAATATTTTTGTTACTTTTTAGAGATACTTGTACTTAGTACTGAACTACATTAAGAATTTAAAGCTCAACTCTCACTTCAGTAACAACCAACATTGTTTAATTATAATATGGTTATTGCGGATTACATAATGTTGAAATTATCTATATATCGAATGACTTGTTGTTACCCCCTGAACCCATGGATTACTTTTTGAGTAATGATATGTAGTGTTGCTATCATTGATGGACCTTTAGTCAAGCGTTTCAACCTCATTCTATTTGAAGTAGATATCCTTATGTAGTTATGTCTTAGACTCATATGTCTAGACTTTTCATTATATACCTCATTGTATGCTTTTGCTAATGTAGCTTGACTATCACACATGATAGATATCGAAGATGTATTCTTCGGTCCCAAAGGTATCTCACAAAGTAGATCCTTAAGCCGTTCAACTTCTTTCCCGATTTCTGATAAAGCTACAAATTTAGATTTCATAGTTGAGTATGTCATACATGTTTGCGTTTTCGATTTCCAAGAAACAACACCACCTCAAAGAATAAACACCCAACCAGAAGTGGATTTACTTTCACCCGTGCTAGATATCCAACAAGCATCTGTAAATCCTTCCAAATACAGCGGGAATTTAGTGTATTGCTGACCTAAGTTCTTGGTTTTCTTTAAATATCTAAGAACTCTTCTAATAGCTTTCCAATGATCATTGCTCAGATTCCTAGTAAACCAACTAAGTTTACTAATTACGAACGCTATATCTGGTCTTGTGCATTGAACATCGTACATAAGACTCCTGATAGCATTTACATACTCTAGTTGAACAAGTTCTTTTCCATTATTCTTTATTAGATTTGAACTTAGATCAAGAAGGGTACAACATTCTTTTATGTTCAAATGTTGGAACTTATCTATCACACTCTCAATATAGTGGGATTGACTTAAGTGATAACCCCCATTAGTTTTTGTAACTTTGATACCCAAAATGGTATTCACTTGTCCAAAATCATTCATCTTGAAAGTGGAAGATAGAAATCTCGTCATTTCCCTTATTCCATTCATGTGGTTACTCATAATCAACATGTCATCGACGTATAAACATATAAATATCACATAATCAACACATACTTTAGAATATAAACATTTATCCACACTATTATGTTTTAAACCAAATGATATAATAGTTAAGTCAAACTTCTCATGCCNATTTCTTAGGTGTTTGCTTCAAACCTTATAATGACTTAACTAATTGGCACAACTTACGTTCATTTTCGGGTAGAACAAACCCTTCAGGTTGTTCCATATAAACCTCCTCATCGAGGTCCCCATTCAAGAATACCGCTTTGACATCCATTTGATGATCATGCAAGTCATATATCAAAACTAATGCGAATAATATCCTAATTGATATTATTCTAGCTACCGGTGCATAAGTATCAAAATAATATATTCATTCTTTTTGTCGATAACCTTTAGCTACTAGTCTAGCCTTAAAGGTATTAAGAGAATCATTAATATTATACTTTTCCTAAACACCCATTTACATCCAATAGGTTTGGATCCGGGTGGTAAATCGATAAGTTTTCAAGTGTTGTTAGATATTATTGAATCCATTTCATCATTAACATCTTTCCAAAAGAAAATATGCTATATCGAGAATTCATGGCTTCTCTATAAGTTTTACGATCAGTTTCCATTTGTAGAACAAAAGAAATTGTTCGTACACCATTCTTATCACTTCCTTCTACTAAGTAAAATGAAATAAGTTGAGAGCCAATTTCATCCGGTCCTAAAGACTTCTCAATTTGAGTTCTTTTGCTCCTTTGAGTTTCACTAGATTCATCAACATCTTTAGAAGATGTTTCACCTTGTGTTCCACTAGAGTTGTGAATTTCTTTATTAAATTTCCTTAATTCATTATCCTGAAATAGTAAATTCTAGAAGAACTCTATATCGCTGGATTCAATAATCACATTGGACTCCAAATTCAACATCGATAAGATTTGCTATTACTAGCATATCCAACAGATGCACATTTGATGCTTCTTGAACCTAACTTGATCCTGTTAGGGTTCGTGTTCTTACAATAAGTAAGACACCCCCACACTTTGAAATATCCAATGTTTGGTTTTCTTCATTTCCACAATTCATAAGGAGAAACCTTAGTAAATTTAGAAGGAATCCTATTTAATATCCTACATACACTCAACAACGCTACACCCCATAAATTAAATGGCAACTTAAGTATAAATCAACATGGCATTAATCATTTCAACTAAAGTTCTATTAACACTTTGATATGGCCTTTTAGTCATTTTAGATTCCATACAAGTTTGACATTTAAATGCATCATTTTCATTGTATGAAATTAAGTTACATTTGAACATCATTTTCATAGTACTTTTACTTATGTGACATAATCTAGCATGTCATAATGAAAATAAATCAACGATATAAGCAACACCCACTTTATTATTAAAAGATTTGGCAACAGTACAAAGATTTACCATTCCTTAACAAGAATAGTCTTTTCCAACAAATTTCCCATTTGGGGATAGTAGAAGTTCATCGGATTCAAAAACGCATTTTATACCCGATTTTCCTAAGAGATTTCTACTAGCTAAGTTCCTATTCATATCAAGAAAATGTAGTGCATTTATCAAGGTAACATTTTGCCGAAAGTGAAGATGATATCCACATTTCATTTTCCAAATACTTTGGATCGAACCTCATTACCCATCTAAATCTCTTGTTCTCCATCAACTTCATAATAAATCTTGAATAATGACTTATTATATGATACATATACTGTTGCACACGTATCATACCACCAATCAGGAAAGCTTTCCCTTGATAGCATTGATTTCGCTTACGGTGGCCACAATATTGTCTTCTTTGGTGGAGTTCACTTTTCCTTCGGTGTTGTTCTTTTTTCGGTATCGACATTCCTTTGCATAATGTCCAGATTTCCCACAAACAAAACAACTACCTTTGGTCTTCTT